TGTGGGGCTCCACATAGGGCCTACTTCAAATAAATAAATAAATAGTTCCTACAAATTAATAAGACCAAAACTCAAGGGGAAAAAAGGATAAAGTCTATGAAAAAAACGATTCACAGAAAAGAAATATGTCTAAGTATATTAAACATGGGGACACCTAGGTGGCTGTCAGTTAAGCATCTGCCTTTGGCTCAGGTCATGATCCTAAGGTCCTGGGATAGAGTCCTGCATTGGGCTCCCGGCTCAGCCGGGGAGCCTGCTTCTTCCTCTGCCTGCCACTCCCCCTGCTTGTGCTCATGCTCTCTCTGACAAATAAATAAAGAAAATCTTAAAAATATATATATATATTAAGCATGTTCAACTTCACTCATATTACAAAAAATTTAAATTATACTATTAATTTTTTACCTACTAGAATAGCCACCCACACAGATCAAAAAGTCTGATTATATACTATGTTGGTGAGACTATGGGGAAATAAATACTCTAGTATACTTTTTGTGAGAGCCTAAATTGGTTCAACCTCTACCAAGGGCAACTTGACACTATCAAAGTTGCAAAGGCAAATACCCTTTGACCCAGCAAATTCTAAGAATATGTCCTATCGGTATACTTGCTTATATGTAAAATGATTTAACACGAAGTTATTCACTGCAGTACTGTTACAGCAAAAACAAAAGTACCCCAGAAATAAACAATTTAAATAATCGTCAGAAGATATAAGGGCTTTGTTCAACAAATAACAGTAAATTCACAGAATGGAAGCTGTGAAATCATTCAAAAAGAACCAGGCCACTGTGTTCAGGCTACTTGAACATTATCAAAGAGACAGTGCAAAGTGAAAAGAGCAGGGACTATAACATGGTATGCAGAGTGTGCTACCACTTGTGTAAAAGAAATGGAGGCAGGGGGGTGCCTGGGTGGCTCAGTCGGTTAAGCATCTGCCTTCTGCTCAGGTCATGATCTCAGGGTCCTGGGATGGAGCCCCACATCAGGCTCCCTGCTCAGTGGGAAGCTGCTTCTTCTTCTCCCTCTGCAGCTCCCCCTGCTTGTGCTCTCTCACACTCTTTGTCAAATAAATACATAAAATCTTAAAAAAAAAATAGAGGCGGGATTTTGTTACATATATCATCCCTGTAAGGCTGTGCAAGAGATATTGACAATTTTTGTTGCATCAGAATGAGAACTGGATGGCTTGGAGGAGAGGAGATTCTTTTTTTTTTTTTTTTTTAAGATTTTATTTATTTGACAGAGAGAGACACAGCCAGAGAGGGAACACAAGCAGAGGGAGTGGGAGAGGGAGAAGCAGGCTTCCCGCAGAGCAGGGATTCCGATGCGGAGCTCAATCCCAGGACCCTGGGATCATGAACTGAGCTGAAGGCAGATGCTTAACGACTAAGCCACCCTGGCGCCCCGAGGAGATTCTTTTGAGTACATTTTGGGGACTTTTGAATTTTCAACCATAACAATGTTGTACTTATTCAAAACATTAATTTAAAACTTTTGTAAATAAAAAATTTCCAACCCCGGGGAGCCTGGGTGGCTCAGTCGGTTAGGCGTCTGCCTTTAGCTCAGGTCATGATCCCAGGGGAGTCCCGCAGCAGGGAGCCCACTTCTCCTTCTCCCTTTCCCTTTGCCTACTGTTCCCCTTGCTTGTGCTCTCCCTCTCTCTGTCAAATAAATAAATAAAATCTTTAAAAAAATTTTTTCCAACCCCATTATAAACACTTGCTTCAAGTATTAAAAAATATAAGTATTAGGGGCACACAGCAGGCTGTCAGCAGAGGCTGCGACTCTTGATCTCAGGGTTGTGAGTTTGAGCCCCACATTGGGTGTAGAGATTACTTAATAAAATCTTTTTTTTAAAAATGGAGGTATTGGGCGCCTGGGTGGCTCAGTCGTTAAGTGTCTGCCTTCGGGTCAGGTCGTGATCCCAGGGTCCTGGGATCGAGCCCCGCATCGGGCTCCCTGCTCGGCAGGAAGCCTGCTTCTCCCTCTCCCACTCCCCCTGCTTGTGTTCCCTCTCTCGCTGTCTCTCTCTGTGAAATAAATAAATAAAATCTTTAAAAATATATATATATAAGTATTGTGGGTGCCTGGGTGGCTCAGTGGGTTAAGCGTCTGCCTCTGGCTCAGGTCATATTCCCAGGCTCCTGGAACAGAGCCCTGCATCGGGCTCTCTGCTCAGCATGGAGCCTGTTTTTCCCTTTCCCTCTTCCTTTGCCCCACCCCCTGCTCTTTCTCTCTCAAATAAATAAAATCTTTTAAATTAAAAAAATGGAGGTGTTAAAACACATACAATACTCAATCATAAATTTGAGTTAAAATTAATATGCTATATTAATTATTTGATAAATAGTAATTTTGTCCTTTAGAATTTAGAACGGCTTTTGAGAGATAACTTGAATAATCTAAGCACATCTCAAATTTTAAAAGACAGAGAAAACTGTACCACTAATATTCTCCCACTGAAAAGCATTTTCAAGAAGGACTTACTCAACATTTCTCCCATTTACTCTCTCCTACTTCCTCAATTTATTTAAAGCTACAAGTGCTGCCTGTCAGAAGCAAACCAAAGCAATGCCACAGGAAGCAATAAATGTCATTGTCACTCACTTTCATGGTTTGTTGCTGTAGCTAACTCTGGTCCTGTTACAGTCCACCTGCTGAAAAGAAGTTGGAGCAGGCTCTCAGATCATTTGCCCTATAACCCTTATGCCCAGAAACCAAACCCTGTAAGAGATAGCATACCAGAATGTCTTCCTAAGAGAAACTATAATTATTTATGAAACTCCAATTTGATTTATTGCCCCCCCCACCTCCAACAAAGCATTGTGTGTTTATATGTTACATTATATATTCTGCTATGGAACAGAAACAATGTTCTCTGGTGCTCTGGAGTATGAAGATGACATTTAGGTCAGCCAGATATTGCCACCATTACCAAATTGAAAGCCATTTTTGTAAGTGGGGAAGTGCTCTACTTTTTACCTAAAATATAAACCTCATTTTTACATTATACACAAATATAGTTTTTTCATTTTTTTAAAGATTGGCTTCTATTTAAAGCTATGATAGTTCATGTTTCACATACAAAACATTTACTTGAATCAGAGTTTTTATGAAACTAAAAATTATATTCACAACACCAAGGCTCATTAAAATATTTTAATATTAATTTACATTTTTCTTCTCTCAGAACACAAAACTTTTAAACATCATATCAGTATTACACAACAAAACCCGATTGATATAAAGTGTTTTACAAACAGAATAACCTCCACATTCAAAACACTTTCAATAATTTTTTTCACTTGTATTTTTTGGGGGCATAATATAGACCCAAATGGAATAAGGGTTGCTTTGAGTAGAATAGTTATTTTTGTAATTTCAACCTTTCACAGCTTAGTATATATGCAATCTCACTGTTCATGAAACAGAGAATTGTAAAATTTTCCATCTCTTAATAGTCTTGTAATGGAACAGAAAAATATCCTGTGTGTCACATTTCTTGGAGGAATCAGTTGTTATGAAGTACCATTAGGGCTGGTTTCTTCTGTGAGTGGTTTCTTCAGAAACCACTTTCAAAATGCTCATCCCAAGTGTCAAATAATTGCCTCATCTATACCTGGGATGTGCTACTTCTTGAACATGAGCTGGTGATATAGCCTTTCAAATTAATGGTTGAGGTAGCTCAAACAATGTAATCACCGAGGCTTGAAGTGAAAAGGAAGAAAACAGAAGTTTTTCCTATCAGTCAAAATGCACATCCTTACTCATCTATCACACAGATTTGGAGAGATAAGAGGAAAGAATGAAGAGTGGAAGGTTAATCCTGAGAGAGCATATATATGAAGGAATGAATGATAATGTCTCATCTAAATGATGGTTCTGTAATAAAAGTTTCCCCAATGAGTAGGCTGCCATAAATTCATTTATATTTCTATTTTCCAACTTTCTGAACTGCAAGAATCATTTCAACAGATACCACACACATATATACAGTATACAGTATTGGCACTGGGCCACAATTTAAAATACTCATGAAGTACACATGAATGTAAGGCACTTTTGCGGTTTACAAAAGTGAATGCCTCAAAGTTAGGTATTTCCCCCAAATGAAGAAATATCCTCATAAAAGTTCATAGGATCCCTGAAAACCAAGTAGGCATGAATAATTAGTGATCTTGGCCAACGTTTGAGAAACTCGGTGTGACTGAAAAACAGAGATATAGAGGTAAATAATTTTTAAAATTACAGAGTTCTGTATACCAGTGTCAGGATTCTAAAACTGCTCTCATAAAAAACCTATCAGTTCTAAGTTTTTTTAGTTTCTCAACGACAAAAGACTATGAAGAGTAGGCAAGAACCACTCATGGTGTACTGCTATTTGAATTTAGTGGTAACCCCACACTAAGTCAGTTATAAAAAGGCTGGGAATAATAAAGGCTTTATGTTTCTTTTGTGAAGCTATTTCTTACAAATATTATAGCTAATATAGGATCTTATTCAAACTACTTAAAAATGTGAAATTTCATATACTTTCTTTAAATCGAGAATTTTAAATTCCCAAATACAAATACTGTTGCTCCAAATAATGTGAGTTTTCCTATGACTAATTAAAATTAAAAGGAGGTTTACAACCTATAATATACTATATTTTCTTATTTAGGAGAGAAAAAAAAAGCTTAGATATCATAAAGCCAAAAGGTTAAGGGAATAATCAATTTTCTGTGCCATTGGTTAAGGGAATAATCAATTTTTTGTGCATTCGTTCCCAGAAATTCTAGAAGAGCCAAATCTCTAGATCATGGTTGGTGAGGAGAGGTCAATAACAAAGTCAGGGACTCAGGACAGATATAACTGTACCTTGCTTCTTTATTCACAAAGTAAAAGAGCATGGACTTTAAAAAATTATTATTTCTATGTTACAGCATTCTAACAATTCAGTTGTTACTTAAATGAGATACCTAAAAATGAGATTTTCAAATCATTTTCCTTAAAGGATGCAATTAGTATATTCTTGTTGCTGAATGTGGAAATTAAAATGCATACCTAGCTCTTTACATTATTTACAACTTAAATCTTTGTTGTACTTCATCTGCAATCATAACAGAAATTGCAAGAGAAGAAGTAGCAGCAGGGGAAGGTGCATTTCTCACATGAAGAATGCGATTTCCAATATCCCCAACTCCTCCATCAAATACAAAATCTTCTACCAGATTTCCATCCCTATCCAGGGCTTGGGCTCTTACTCCAGCTGGACCTCTGCAAAAGCAAGAGTGGAAGTCAACTGACTGGAAGAGATAGGACACTTTACAAATCAGTGGTTTCAAAGTATTCTTAAATCAAGAGTCTTTATTCTTTTAAATGCACAATTATGCAGAAACCCAATAGGTTTGTGTTTAGCCGATGGCTATCAGTTTGTAGCCTGTCAAATATATCCTTAGCCTAGAGCATAATGCCTGCCACGTAACAGTGTCAATAAATGCTACCAAAGGGGGCGCCTGGGTGGCTCAGATGGTTAAGCGTCTACCTTTGGCTCAGGTCATGATCCCAGAGTCCTGTGATCGAGTCCCACATCGGGCTCCCTGCTCCTTGGGAGCCTGCTTCTCCCTCTGCCTCTCTCTCTCTCTCTCTCTCTCTCTCTCTGTGTCTCTCATGAATAAATAAATAAAATCTTTAAAAATAAATAAATAAATGCTACCAAAGAATACACAAATATTTACTTGTAAATATTTGTTTTTCCCCAAAGTAGCAGAAAAATCCACAATTAGAACAGATGACTTAATTTGGATTTATAAGATGAATTTATTATAAAATCAATGGGAATAAATAAGTCTCTAATACAAAGCAATAAAAATAGAAGTTATTTATGTCAGTTGCATTCCTAAGTATCCACTATAGAATTCTATTTATTTTTGCATTTTGTTTTGATTGTAAATTAAAATTGATGGAGAGCAATATTTGCAAATGGCAGCAAGTTATTTTTTGCAGTTTGTTTTTATTTTCAACTGTTTAGCCTTCACTGATATCAGGATAACCTTCGATTAAACAGAGATGATAGGAAAAGCACAAAAATGAATTAACTTGGCAGCATGTTAATACGGTAAGAGCCTTTACGAATGAAAGTTCTGGCTTTTATAACACTTGAGTTCACAAATTAGTTTTTTTTAAGATAGTTAAAACTTACAGATGAAATCTGAATAAAATATTTTTTAATCCAAAAGTACCTCCCTTATACAAGACCAAGCAAGGCTGTATCATATATTGGATTTATGTGCAATGTGGTGGCCACAAACGCCCAGTTCCTAAGGGTGAGACATAGTGCAAACCTGTCCACCATGGCGTTAACCGGCTGAAGTTTGCCTGAGGCCTTCAGTCTGTTGCAGAGGAGCGAGCTAGATGCCACTGTGCAGCTCTGAGAGTCCTGAATTCTTCCTGGGGGCAAAGATTCCATGTACAAATTCTTCGAGGTTATCCTCATCGATCCATTCCATAAAGCGATCAGAAGAAATCCTGACACCCAATGTATCACCAAACCACAAGCACCGGGAGACGTGAGGGCTGACACCTGCAGGCCTCAAGAGCCAAGAGCTGTGGCCTTAGAAATGGTCCCAGGTTCCAGCACACTATGAGTGGTTCTTGCTGTGCGGCATGGAGAAGATGCAATACTCTCCAGCTCCACCATTACTGCTTATAATATTTGTAAAATTCTTACCTAATAAACAATTAGGACAGTCATGTCTGCTTAAAATGTTCTTTGTTAAAGTTAGTTGTCTTCAGATTATTCCATGAATGCATTGTCAAAATTATGAAAGTTAAAGTGCAATAATGTTTGAAGACTATTAAGTGATAGTGTATTTTGTTTCTGATACACACTTTTGTCTTCGCTTTATCTTCTTAGGGAGTTTATATGCCAGTGTTTAAAACGCTGTTTGGTATAATAGGTGTAAAATAAATTCTATAGAAGTGGAATGCAGAAGCTAGCCATGTCATTTGTTGGTGCGTGTAATGAAACCTACACTTCATTGGAGTGATATAATGCTCTGCTGGTTTACTCTCAAATGGCTGTTTTTAGAGGTTTAGTAAGAACAAGCTTTTTAAAGCTTGGAAATGTGAAGAACATCCTAATCTTTTATCATGATCACATGCAGAATAATAAAGCTAACTAGGGCCCACATTTTGAGGTTGAATCCAATATTCTATTTATATAACTGCTGCTTCTAAAAGAATAGTTTAAAAGAATGCCACCATTTTTAGGAAAATTGAATAAAGCTGTTGTAAGAGGGCTCTCTTACAAATGAAAATAAATCCTGCTTAACCTTCAAAAAAAAAAAAAAAATTACCTCCCTTGGAACTGTTCAGAAAACCGAGTTTGAAAACAGCTGCCTTAGCGGTGCCCGGCTGACTCAGCTGGTAAAGCAGGCAACTCTTGATCTTGAGGTTGTGAGTCCAAGCCCCATGTTGGGCATAGAGCTTATTTAAAATAATAATTAAAAAAAAAAACAGCTGCCTCCAAACACCACGAAGACTCAAGAAATCAGGCAACAATATTAAACATTTTTAGTGATTCTGGGCCAATGAAGACCAATGAAGATAAGTACTTGAGGAAGACAGAACACTATAAGAGCAATGCCCTCTAATGATATTGAGATAATGACAATAATAACTAATAACTATTATTTACTAAGTGCTTTCTCTGTACTAGGAATTCTAATTCTCACAACAACTATAAGAGGCTGATACCATTTATATTTAACAGCAAAGAAACAGATTAAATAACTTGCCTGAAGTTACACAGCTGGAACTATTCCTTTGTATAGAGGTAAATAAGAATTAGTTACAACAAGTAACAAGTTATTATATGCAACAATAAAGGTAAGTAAGCTGCCCTAGAGAAGGCTGCAGGGAATCTGGGCAGGGGATTTTTAAGGTATAAGGATTTCCAAGGAAGAATCAGATACAACACTTAGAACACGAAAAGAACCAGACTGAAGCTGAAATTTCTTCGGGTGAGGATACAGATCAGCTGGTACACCATGTTATCAGCCGGCATGGGCTCCATTTAGTGCATTCTCACAAGATAAGCTTATCTCAGCTCATCAAAGAAGCATTTCTCCCCTCTTTTCCTGAACAAAGCTGCTGTTGCTCTTAAGAGTATCTCTAGGAGTTTTCTTGTCTGGCACCTTTTATCTGGCAGAAGGCCAGCATGTAGGGGACACACAGTGGCATGACCAGCCATTGATGTTTAGTGATCAAAATAAAACTTTCCCCTCTTACAGAGGCTTAGTTAGTACATTCCTTTGACTGCCCCTTCTTAGCAAATGTAAGTCAATACTGATTAACAGCAATTACAAATATGTCTATACTTATTTCTTACAAACACCAATTATCTTCCCAGTGTCCCCTCCCGCCCAAGTGTTCAAAGTGTAATCCAAAGTGTAAAAAACAATATACAATATTGTTTTTCTAAGGACCTCACTTTAGCTCAAACTAAAGTTAACTACTTAACATGAAATGTTTAAAACTACAAAATTCTTCGTGTTCCCTCTTTAGCACTTAATGCAACTTCAGGGTTTTTCTTTGCATGATTTTATATATATAGGCATTCCCCCACAGAATACCTCATCTTGACAAGAGCATTATAACTTGAAATTTCAGGTAAGATGAACTATAACTTTCTTAAGGGCCAACATCTTTTTTTTTTTTAAGATTTTATTTATTTATTTGGCAGAGAGAGAGAGAACACAAGTAGGCAGAGCGGCAGGCAGAGAGAGAGAGGGAGAAGCAGGCTCCCTGCTGAGCAGGGAGCCCGACGCGGGGCTTGATGCCAGGACCCTGAGATCATGACCTGAGCCAAAGGCAGACGCTTAACCAACTGAGCCACCCAGGCGCCCCAAGGGCCAACATCTTATACAACACCCCTACTTCACCCTCATGTCTAGATTTGTGCCTTATACATAGTAAGTACTCAATAAGGCTAGAAACTTAATTTTTTTACTTCTAATTCTTTTTTTTTTTTTTTTTAAGTAGGCACTATAACCAGCGTGGAGCCCAATGTGGGTCCTGAACCCAGGACCTGAGCTGAGATCAAAAGTCAGATGCTTAACTAAGCCACCCTGGTGCCCCTTAACTTCTACTTCTTTAAAAATCTATTTTAATAGCTGAAAGAACAAGCTAGCAAATTTAATATTTGTGAATTCAGCTACATCGACCTGTTTAGTGCTATTGTAGCTTTGTATTTTGCTATATTTATAGCTAAATTGAATGGGAATGTAAATTCTAAACACTTATATATGTCTCGAAACAAAAGGTGACTACGTAACTAATAGCATTCCTTCATCTGAAGAGTGCTGTCTTTATTGCTTTATTGTTTTGTGGCAGGCATTATCCTGTGAGTTGGAAAAGAGCTATGAAAGGCTACAATTGACATCTTTGACCAGTTCCAAATAGGACAATTTAGTATTTTATAAAACTCACCATGGGATCTACTGTTAATCTAAAAACAAAAGTTCACATGAGCATATTGTATAGGGAAAGTAAACTAGTTCATCTTAATTTCCAACATGAAGCAGGGGCATTTTTGTTACTAATCTTCACCCTAAAAGGATTGATAAGAGAACATGGTTTTTTTATGCCCAATTTTTGAATTTTGTTGAGAACCTGATTTGGGGATTAGAACTTTTTGAGCCTTTGTATATATATATTTTCTGAGGGCTTGAGTAACACAAGCATTCTGTAATGGGAGTTGTGGATTCCTATACATATTCAATCAAGTGTTTTAATTGTGTTATTCAAATCTTCTAATATTTTACCTGCCTGATCTATCTTCTATCAACAGGTCTTAAAATCACCCACAACTGTAGATTTGTTGATTTCTACTTGCAGTTATGTCCATTTTTATTCTTTGTATTTCGTATCTCTGTTATTATATGCAACAAGTTTATAGTGACCTTCTTTGTTGCTAGTAATTTTTGCCTTAAAGTGTATTTTATCTAAAATGACTAGTACTCATTCTTCTCCTTCTTCTTCTTCTTTTAAGATTTTATTTATTGGGACGCCTGGGTGGCACAGTTGGTTAAACGTCTGCCTTCAGCTCAGGTCATGATCCCAGGGCCTTGGGATCGACCCTCATCTGGCTCCCTGCTCAGTGGACAGCCTGCTTCTCCCTCTGCTCGCTGCTCCCCCTGCTTGTACTGTCTCTCTCTGACAAGTAAATAAATCTCATTTAAAAAAGATTTTATTTATTTGAGAGGGAGAGAGAG